CCTGAACATTTTTGCAAGTAAAACACTCTTCAATGAAAAATTGAAAGATAAAAGAGATATGCTTTTCAATTACGCTTCTTATGTCCATTTTAAGTTGAGCTGATCCAGTAGTGGACAGCTCCCAGCTATGGTGCAGAGCTAAAAATGCAAAGAGAGACTACTACAGTGGGAAGAGAAGTTTAGGAGAGAAAGGCTTACGAGAAATCTTCCCAGCTTTCTTTGAGGCTGACATGTGTCTGGCATGGCTGGCATTCCTAAAGCTAAAAGCTGGCATTACCATACCAACGGCCAACGTTAACAAAAAAGCTCAGATAATTAAAAGACAGCTATAATTTAGTCTTTCACAAATTCCCTCTCTCCATCTTTGTCCGTCCATCTTTGAATTTCTTTCTTTGCTTTTCCCCCTCTGCCCTTCTCTCTGTCCATTCCCTCCTTCTTGTTTGCTCTCAGTTAAAACAACCAGTGGTGACTTTGCACTGTTTAATGTTTTCTTATGCCAAGTAAGGCCCAGATGGGTTGTTTCTTTTTGGATATTTGTAATATTGACTGTCATCACAGTACATTTATCATTATTTGCACCTCACAATATCGAGGCTTGTATCAATATAAAATAACAGGATAAATAGATTAGTACTTGGTCTTAAAAGGGCCTGATTTCAATCACAGCAGATCCTAGTGGAATAAAAATCATTTACAAATTTAGATTATCTTGATTTATAAGAATAAATCATCTGCACTCAATTGCAAAACAGATTATGATCTCAATTTTTCCATGTCTCCAAAAAGTTGTACATGCGCAGCATCATGAAATTCGGGGTGTTGGCATGATAAAATATGCAAGAACACACAAAAGCTAAACAAAAACAAGGAACATCGGGTTCAACGCATTACTTCATAACAGGGTTGGGTCTGCAGGGATCTGGATTTTCCTCAGAACTTGAATGTGGAAACGTTTTTGTCATGAGAGCATTGTTGTCTGCAGCGTTTCAATCGAGAAATAACAGAGAATTAATGTCTTGTCAGCACTAACACATTTCTTTGTTTATATTTTGAAGTAGTTTAATTGAAACATACCCACATCAGCTCTGTTGTGTTTTCTATTTGTTTTGGTCCAAGTGTCCCTTGAAAGTGTTGTCAAGCCAAACAAACTGCACAGCGAGGTGTGACCCTGCCATTGTCTGTTAGATATAACAAAAAATACAGGCTAAACTTAACCTGTGCTGAGTCAGCACAGCTGTGTTTTCTCTGGGGACAAAGTGTGTGTGTGTGTGTGTGTGTGTGTGTGTGTGTGGTGAAGTTTTTGTTTGTGTGTATGTTCATCTTCATTTTCTTTTCATCCTTTTCCATCCACTTGGTTAGTGCATTCATGTTTTCATGTTTCTTGTGTATATGTGATATGTGTATGCTGTGTGTCTAACCAGTTTCATTGTTTTATCAATGTCTTTATTCATTTGTGTGTGTGTGTGTGTGTCCAGATGAGGAGTTGTCAGGCTATAGCTGCCTACATAGATGTCCTTATGGAGGTATTGTAGAAAACAAATCTGGGCATCAAGCAGCTGCAGAAGGCAAAATAAAATGATATTTTGACTTTAAAGAATTTATTCATCAGACTCTTGTCACATGGTTTGGGAAGATAAAATTATATACTGTGTCCCTGAGTTTACCTTGTTAGGTAGCCAATTGGATATTTTAGGTATCACATGGTCTTGATGGAAGCTGATGGACACATTCAGCCAGTAGCTTTTTCATTTAGGATTTTGTTGGTGCTACTAATAAGAGAATTTCTCTTTTTAGTAATGTAGAACCTTTTCCTTGTCCAGTTAGGGGCAGGGCCTTATAATGGTGACGGTGGATAATCTGTCAAAAACTATTAGAACAAGATATTTCAACACTTAATTACCAGACATGTTTTTGGGGGATGCTCATGTTCAACAGAAAATGAATCCTAAAGTTTTTGGCTCTGAGCAAAAAAGTATTCTGCAGTGCTTGAAAACCAAAATTTCATTTTGTTGTTTCACTTTGCTAAGTTATAGGAAACAGATCTTTGTAAAAGTCACTATAGGTATCCATAAGCCAAAAAATAAACCCTGAAGTGTTTTTTTTTTGTTCCCCTTACCTCCGCCACATTTGAGCCACACTGTGAGAAGGCCTTATGATTAGTAAAGTTAAACTCATCTGGTTTTGTTTGTTCTTTAGTGTCATGCAGTGAAATGAACACTGCAGCCTTTAGGTGGTCATATTAGAGCTTTTGACTTCGTCTTGTTTTCCCCCGCACCATGTGAAAAGTGCACTGTGTGAAGAACAAGCCATTAAAATTCAAAATATCAAGGTATCTATCTCTCTCTTAACTCTTCATAGCTTTGCTCAAGCAGCTGTGTGCCCCCCCCCTCCCCTCAACTGTGCTCACACAGGACAAAAAGACCCAGCTAAAACAGTTGCCATGTTTTACATGCTTATTGCTACCACTGCTAAACCTTTGCTCACGTCCCAGTGAGGAATTATTGAATAGTCAACAATGTTAATTTGCTCTGAAAGATGACCAGTTTCAGGCTTCATGTCAACATTACCGTCAGAGTTTTAGAGGTCTTGTTGAACAGTTATTGTTGTTAAATCACTCACCCAGAGTGAAAACTATTCTTCTACTGGGAGGAGCAGCGGTGCAGCCACAGTAGCAATAACAACACTTTAGCGAGTATGTAAAAAGGGGGATTTTTATCACAGCTATGTCTGTATAGTAAGATTGCCTCCCTGTGAGGAGGAACAGTGCATCAGTCCAGCTCAGATTTAGAATTTTAGATATTAAAAATGATAATGTGTAAAATGTAGATTTAGTTTAAGGGAGAAAATGTTTGGCAAACATAGCTCTTCAGAAAATCCATCTGACATTCACTGTATTAACATAAAACTACTACCCACTACTAACTGGCAGCATATCCTAGTTGCTATTCTATAATCTGTTCTGTAACAGGTTTACCATTGACTCTGCATCTCTTATGTGTCCTTCAGTGTTGGTTGTAAATTTTAGCTCACTAGTCTTTCGTCCTGCCCTTTGTTCTTTGTTTTCCTCATATCCTGTGGAATTTCTCCAGGTACAAGTCCTTGAGCAGGATGGAAAGTCAAAGGAGTCAATGATGAACTCCTGCTGACAGACTCAGCCATTGATTCATTTATTTAAGTATTAATCCACTCAGTCATGCATTAATTCATTAATGATAGCATTGCACTTATGTAGCATAAAGGGTTGTTAAAGTCAAAACTGCTACTTGGTGATGTTAAATAAATTGTTAAAGATTCATGAAGCTGTTTTCCTCATTTAGTTTTTTAAAAGCCACTTAGTTTGAACCTTGGCAGCACCATCTGCATCAGTAAACAGATATTCTTTTCTCTCAACATGTTGTAATATGGGCGTCCTTCTTATTGCGCCCTCTATGACCTGAGGCTATTGTAATGGTTTTCTCTCGGGAATATTGCAACAGCTCAGTTGATGTTCACTGTTCCTGGATAACAGATACCGTTGATTATCAGCACACAAACTTGCTGTGCTGACCTTTACCCGAAAAGTATGGGCGCAAAGAAATTAGAGAGAAGGAAAGAGAGGAAAAATACACAATTAATGTCTTTTTCTTACCTTTTCTTTTTATTACAACCCTCCTATCACCTTATCTGAAACCTTCATTCCACCTTTTACTTCACACCCAACCTCTCACATGGATTGTCTCCACTCTTGTGTTCCTCCCTTTTCCTTGTCTTCCTCCTCCTCCTCTTCCTCCCCCTCCCCTTCCTCTTCTCAGGCTATGACTTTGCGGCTGTCCTGGAGTGGTTTGCGGAGCGAGTGGACCGGATCATATTACTGTTTGATGCCCACAAACTGGACATTTCTGATGAGTTCTCAGAGGTGATAAAGGCCCTGAAGAACCATGAAGACAAAATAAGGTACAAGATCTAGAACTGCTCGACTTAAAGACATCTTTTATACCCAACGCCACACAAAGCTTCGCTACACAAAGTCGACATGAATACCTGCTCATTCCGTATATTCACGTAAACCTTAAGTGAACGTTCATCACCACCGCTCTCTTCGGTTGTGTTGTTCAGGGTTGTGCTGAACAAAGCTGACCAGATAGAGACCCAGCAGTTGATGAGAGTCTACGGTGCCCTGATGTGGTCACTAGGGAAAATAGTCAACACCCCTGAGGTATGGTAACCATGGCAACTGTCATATCTTCCATAGGTTTTTCTAAGAGGAAACTTCAAAGCCTGCATTTACTTTCAGTCTGAGCATTTTAAACTGTTCATGTAAATATCATGTCAATTATTTTTCATATTGTCCTTTCATAAATGATTCGAATTGGCCACTTAAAGTTGGTGGAAAAGCTGGTGTCTAGTTTCCATCTGAAGCCCCATTACTTGCCAATATTTATTGAGCTCGTGTGTATTATTGGTAACAAACCGATCAATGTGGATACTTGCTCATTGCCTAAAAATATCATAAATGAGATTCTATTGGCTAGATTTTTGTTTTCTTTTGTCTTGTTTTGGTCCCGCCGACAGTTAATTTCCTCTCTGTCTCCCTCACTGACAGGTGATCCGTGTCTACATCGGTTCATTCTGGTCCCACCCTCTGCTGATCCCTGACAACAGGAAGCTGTTTGAGGCGGAGGAGCAGGACTTATTTAAGGACATTCAGTCTTTACCGAGAAATGCAGCGCTTAGAAAACTCAACGATCTGATCAAGAGGGCAAGACTAGCCAAGGTAAGGCACTTAGGGAAGAAACAGACACACACCTAATCCCACTGATGGAGAATCTGGCTGCGGCACAGTTGTAACTACAGTGGTTATAGGTGACTCTGGGACCTGGGATGCGATTAATAGTGGATGTGGATATTATAAGCACTGGTACATGTCTGTAACCAACATTTCCTACCTCTACAGCAGTTGGACACCTGTTCCACATTTACATACATTTTTGCCTAAGTTTCCATAGATTTACATTATTATAACCGTATTTGGCCTACTGTTCACACTCCTCCTCAAATATTTCCTAATTGAACTGAACCCTTAGCTTTTAAGGGATGAAACAAAGTTTTTTATTTAGACATTTGTAATAAACTAAAATAATGGACTTCCTGCTGATACAGTGACATGTTGCATTTCTCAGCACAGGTGTGTGTGTTTCCTATTTATTCACTCATCTTCTCCACCCTGTCCAGCTGTTAACCTTGACTGAAAAAGCTTGTCGCTGTCACAGAAGCAATAGAACCAGACAAATGTGGTCATTCTCCTCTGAGTGAATTATTCCTGTTTCCTCTCTGGACAGGAAGTCAGGTATGAGAGGCGACAGCCCGCTGCCTGTTGTAGTTTGAGGAAACACAGAGGATGTACACATGCACACACTCAAACAGTATAAGTGCATTTTTCCTGTCTAACAGCTGATAGTGTGTGTGTGTGGTAGATCCAGGGAATCATAAAAACACACACACACACACACACACACACACACACACACACACACACACACACACACACACACACACACACACACACACACACACATCACCCCAGCAACATAACAAATATGGGTTTTCCCATTACTTTTGTACTTTTGCAAGGTTTCATTTGTGATGAATATTAGAAACAAATGTCCATATTAAGGTAATCTGGGAGATTTAGTGTATGATTAATGTGGCTAAAGGAGTATTGAGTGTCCCCAGACTCCAGGATCTCAACAGTCTGCTGCTTACAATGTTACATTTTAGCCATTTATCAAAAGGTCTGACCCTGAAAAACTACATGGGAAGAACACTGAAGGTCGAGAACGGGACAACGATAAAATCACAAAGAAACTGCAAATATAAGAGGAATTTAGTCATGAGTTAATGTTTAGCTTCATAAGTCCTTCATTGTTTCTTGAAAGAACCTTATTTTTTTTGGCCATGTTAAAAGATGGTTAACACAAAACTGTATTTGTCTGCTTTATACTGTTGTCCAAGAATTGTAAATAATTCAGAGGACTCATGTAAATCTTATGCAAATCAGTGATGTAGTTTTGTAAAACACTGAAAGAGCCGTGTCTCCCCCTCTCAATACACATGGATTCTCATGAGAACAATTTTGTCTCACGTCGGGTGGAATTTCACATTACACTTAGGAGAAGGGTGTATTTACAGAGCATAAGATATGTAATGACGTAATTTGGAAAGGGGAACAGCTCGTCTCAGGCATTTTGAAGAGGAAACATTTGTGTCACTACAAAAATTTATGATGAACACATCAAATTTGCAATGTAAACAGAAAAATATTATTTGTCTTCTTTTTATTGCATTTCTAAACAGAGTAACTGCTCGATTTGCATTCAGCCTAGTGATGAATAAACTCTGGGACTTTTGTGGTACTTTAGTGGTACCACCACTAACCACAGGTGTCACCAAATCAACCACAACTGAAATCTTAATGATTATACAGTAACCTAAAACACTAAAACTTAAGAGTCCAACTTGATCTTGCTGTGCCAGTGAATTTCTGTTGAGTACGTGAGCCTCTTTCTCTCTCCATATGCAGGTCCATGCCTATATCATCAGCTCACTGAAGAAAGAGATGCCTTCTGTGTTCGGGAAGGAGAACAAGAAGAAAGAACTAATCGGCAGTCTGGGAGATATTTATAAACGCATTGAAAGAGAGCATCAGATATCACCTGGAGATTTCCCAAATTTGAAGAAGATGCAGGTAAAGAGGAAAGAGTGAAGGAATGTAGATTAATAGATAAGAGGTTTAGATAGATAAGACTTAAACTTGTGATGTGTTTTTTTTTTTTTCCTCGGTCTTCCAGGATCAACTCCAGGCTCAGGATCTCACCAAGTTCCAGCCTCTGAAACCCAAACTCCTGGAGGCAGTTGACGACATGCTAGCCAATGACATTGCTGGCTTAATGGTCCTGGTCCGTCAAGAAGAAACGCAGCGTCCTAACCCAGTTGTGAAGGGCGGTGCCTTCGATGGCACTTTGGACGGCCCGTTCGGCCACGGGTATGGCGAAGGAGCCGGTGAAGGCATCGACGAAGCGGAGTGGGTCGTCGCACGTGACAAACCGGCTTATGATGAGATTTTCTACACATTATCTCCTGTCAACGGAAAGGTGACTGGAGCCAACGCCAAGAAGGAGATGGTGAAGTCAAAACTGCCCAATACAGTGCTGGGAAAGATCTGGAAGCTGGCAGATATCGATAAGGATGGGATGCTGGATGATGAGGAGTTTGCGCTGGCCAATCACCTGATAAAAGTGAAACTGGAAGGACATGAACTGCCATCAGAGCTGCCAGCACACCTGGTGCCCCCATCCAAGAGGAAAATACTTGAGTAAATGTAAGATTACCTCAACTCCCTGCTCCAAAACCTGTAAGTAGACCCCACACCCATCTCCAGAGAAAATGATTCGCATTAAAAGAGGTAGAAGAAGTTTCCTGTAGCGTTATAGCAAAAAAAAAAAAAAAATACAAAAATCCCCACACAACCCACCGTGTTGCCCAGTCTTTCCTTACCTTCAAGAGGCAAATATTAGAACAAATTATTCAGTTAAATTCAATTTTTACACATAGCTCTATAGGATTTGACTTTCTAGTAAGATTTGGATTTAAATGCAATATTTCTGCAGTGCTGACATAACCGTTACCAGAGTAGAAAAACTGGATCTGGATGAGTTCTTTAATTAAAGTCAAGTCTTTTAGACCAGTGTCCTCTTTCTTTTATTTAAAGTGGAGATATTGGGAAATGTCAGGTAGGACAGGTATTAGAGATGTTAGGACAACTGATATGTTGATTAGTAAAAGAAAACAAAACTACAAGTCTAAAACAAGAAACACTGGAATACAGAAAACATGTAAGTCGGTCTAAACTACTGGAAGAAAATGGGGAAGATGCAAACATGAGAAGACAAAAAAGAAGGAAGAAAGAATTTTTTGTTGGAGGGATTATTTTGGGAGAAGGATATAAAATTGCAAATAAATGATTTATCCCCATTAAAACTTTATCTATAATAGGAAGTGTTATTATATTGTCAACTGTAATCAGCTCAGTAAAACTCATGTTCAACTGCAGTATTTCACACGACCACCAAAACATTTCACAGCCCTTGTATCGAGAGGTCCTGCATTATTTTTGGTCTCTTGGCACGGCTGAGTATGGCTTTTGTTTCATGGCGACATCTTGAACAACTACAAAGATTTCCTGTCAAATGGCTTGAGAATACACACAAACACATACCGATGTGTAAAAGCGCACACACTCACACAAGCACACAAAATGAGCACCATTCCCGGTTTGTATTTTGTAACCACACAACGACAGAGTGGAGCACCTCCAGTTAACACAAAAAAAGAAAACGGTCTAAATCGATTACTAACTGTTGAAAATTTAAAAATGTGATGTGCTGATGTTAGTTATTGTGTGTGGGATGGAGTTTATGTCGTCACCATCTTGTGTTGTTGGATGGACATTAAGAGGCTCTTTTGCAATGGAGGAGGAGATGCTTCTTTCATGGGAAACAAGCAGGGGAGGAACTAAGAATGTTAAGTGGTTTGTCTCTTTAAGGATTTTTAAATAATTCTGAATCTCATTAACATGTTTAAAATATACTGTGACTATAATAGGAAACCATACTATGGGACACATCAGTGCGCTGACACGCTCAGTATAAATGTGCTGTTGAACGTGCAGGCGCTCACGGTTCTGTGTGGGCAGACCTGACTATTCTATGTATGCATATGAACACATGTATCAGTGTTATTATTTGTAACGTATATGTACTAAGTCTTAAGCATTGCATAGGCTACTGAGTTGGGATTACTCCAGTGGGTTATTAACTGAAAATTGATGAATCAGTTACTGTTCACTAACCAAACCTTGCAGTCCAGAGAGTGAGCACACAGCTTTTTGCTTATTTTGTGATGATGACAAACACTAATCGACACATTTTTCAAAATGTTTCTTTTAGTTTTTTGAAGAAAAAAAAATTGGCTTTCTATTTCATGTATTTAAAATTGTACACATGTAATAAATGTAATTCCTCTTTACAATGTTTCTGATGTATTACTGTAGCATTATGCCAGTATATGTGTGTATGTATATTTCACTTTAGGACCATAGTTTTAATGAATCTCTATCATAAGCTGAAACAATAAACTGACTAAAATTGGATCCCCATATGATAAGTAATGTTCACTAATGTGTTGGGAATTAGACATTTTGAGCTTTAGAATTGATTTAACTGAAACATTTTTTCCAGTTTAGCCATTAATGTCCTTCCCTGTGCGTCTCTGTGCTATTACTGTGAATCTAATGTACATAAGAAGACTGCTTGCATTCCATGAACACAGACTGCATCACTTGCTCATACTTGGCAGAAGAGCCATGATCAGACAATAAAATATCTGCTTGTTGAATATGAATTTCCTATTCTCTATACGAAGCCCTTGAACTTGACTTGAAGTTGGTTTCATACTGTGAGGGATTGCAACATGAATTCCTGCCTACTGGTAAACATACTAAGTGGAAACACTGGTGTTATGGTATTTTGTCTGTTTTTGAGATGGTGATGCATTGCTTAATCTGTACTTCACTGCTTTCCTGTCAACATAAACAGTCTAGAAATGTAATAAAATTCATTTACTCAACTTACTGCCCTTTTTTGTTTGTGTAAGGATGTTGATGGACTACAACATATTGTAGATGATAACATTCTATTAACTCAATTATGATGCAAAAATTTGAATTGAATTTGATTATATTAATTTTTTGAATGAAATTACAGTAAACCCACTCTGGAAGCTTGAACAGTCTAAATTAATTTCTCTAATGTGCAAGTCATAAGATTCAAATGAACTGTTCTCAGTAGTAAGGCGCACACAACCTCTACCAATAAATAAAGAAAATAGAATGGATTTTCATTTTCAGAAAAGAATTGGGTCTTGCTTTCCCACTTCAAGACACACACACGTTCAGTTTGAGGCCACCTAAAAACTGTCTATAGAAAATGAAACATGTCTTTAGCTCCTACAAATGAAATAACGAATGAGCTTGTGCAATTGTCATTTAAAATATAAATTGTCAATTGTAAAGTGTGTGCGTGCACATCATGGTGGAGGGGAGGGGGCAGGAAGTGAAAGCATCCCCTCGGCCTGTGACTCAAAAACCCCTTTAACCTACACACAAAGACGCACACACACAAACACACAGGGAAGATGCAGTACTCTATCCTCTCACACAGGAAGTTCTGCTCTTGTCCACCATTTCCTGTCTGTCTCACCTTGACCCTTACTCACACACTCAGACACACACACACATATACTGATGTTAATATTTTTGATGTACGTGGATCAGTCTCAGAGTCAACTTTAATTTTGTATTACTCTTATTTATCTAATAGGCCGCTGAAGGGAAAGAACCCAGAGGAATTAAAGCCTCAGCAGTATTTGTGCAGTTTTTAATGATAAAATAATGAAAAACAAAGCTGTACATACAGTCCTTAGGGATTTGGTATCAACATGAGCCTTTTTCAGATTTTTATTTGGAGAATAATTAACAAAGATCAGAGACTGTACAGGCAACTATGTCCAGTGTGTGTGTGTGTGTGTGTGTGTGTGTGTATTGCAGTGGTCATTGCTCAGGGACCATCCACAGATCATAAAATGGAGAAAATAAATTAAATAAGTCAATGGAAAAAACAGTAAACTATTTTAAGTGTAGTATTTTAGTGTTTCCTGGAAATTCTGGGAAATAAGACAGAACGATGGAGACAGACAGACAGACAGACAGACAGACGAAAAAGAAATTCCAAGTCAGAGACAGCTGAAACATGTCTCTGGTTTTAGTTGGTATCTTATCATTTCAGGGGGAAACTGTATATCATGAACTGTGTGTGCGTGTGTGTGTGTGCGTGTGTGCACGTGCAGGGAATATATGTGATGAATGTGTGTGTTTGTCTGGTGAAGGAAGCTACACATCATGATTACATGTAAACACCCAAACACCCAAGGGAACGGGTATTTCAGAACACTGGGTGGGGATGACGCTCTCACACACACACACACCCCCAAACAGACGCACACATGCACTCAGATACACACGTGACTGCCATGACTGCTGTAAACCCAAGCTAATATCGCCCCACAACTGTAAGTCAGAAAAGGAGAAAGACAGAAAGAAAAAAAACTGAGAGAAAGTTTGACCAAACAATTTGAACTCAAAGGCCACTCACTGGCTTCTGTCTGGAGCTTTCTGCCTCGTCTTTCTGGAGGACTTAACTCAGTTGTCATGTAACACAGGATTATTTTTAACCAGTTGACTAAATGGATAAAAATAAACATCCAATCTAACAGATTGACTTATTAATGAGTAACATGCATTCACAGGCTTTCAATTTCCATTTAATGACACTGAAACATCATAATGTATTAAAATAAGCAAAAAAGGACGGAAGGCAAATAATTATCATAATTACTAATTACCTACTTAATTACTCATTTTGATAACATCCGATTAATAACTTATTAAAATGACATGATTATATCCTTAAGTACAACAAAGCTTCTTAATGTAAGTGGGTATGTTGGTGACCACAAAGTGCTCACTCGCACACACACACACACACACACACACACACACACACACACACAGCCCTTGCAACAACATTGTATATAATGTGTAACTTGGATTGGTTGGTTTCTTGTTTGATCAATTTCTTTTCTAAACAAATTCAACCCCCTTGACATTAAAGGCCTGCATATATGTTAGAATTCGCCAGATGTTCCCCTTCTGTTTTAAAAACATTTCAAACTTATATGTGTTTCTTGACACATCAGGTAGAGGTGAGTTTATTATCTCCTGCTCTGTTCATCTCTAAAGCACTTCAGTCTGACCTGAGAGGGCCTGCAGACAGACATGTGCTACCTCTGACAGTTATAGTGGTCATCTGCTTCTTTTCAACCCCCCCCCCCCCCCCACACACACACACACACACACACACACACACACAAGCTGCTCCACCAAAGTTGCACGTGCTGTGACCATGAGCTGATCCCTCACGAGCTTCCCATTGGCAAAAACTGCCAGTTTTGTTTGTGGACTGAACCTGGTCCAAACTATAGTAGCTGAGAACACTGACACATCCACTCATGACTCTCTCTGAGTCACAGCTCATCGCTGTTTCAGCGGGTGCATGTGTGTTTGAGGGTGGAGTGGTCACAAGGTCGGCCGAATGGTGACACTCTACTGTTAATTGCTCTCTGTCTCCATAGCGACATAAAGTGTAAGAGCAGGGCATGATAATGAAACGGTGCACAAATTTAAATGAAATTAGTGGTAGGTCAATGTCTGACGTGTGAAGGGATACCAAGTCTGCACCAGGGTTCATTTAAAATTTCTTAAATGACAGATATTGTTACATCCTACATATGAATCTTATAGTGATTACAAGGGTGGATAAACTTGAGTAACTTAAATCCTGCTACAA